CTCTCAGTGGGTCATGGCAGGAGCGGCCCAGGTAATGATGCCCCTGGGGCAAGAGGGAGGACGCGCAGGTGCGGCTGCAGCTGGCCTTAGGGCCGGTCCCCGCCTCCCTTCCCCTCTCCAAGAGCTCCCAATAGGAATGGATCACCTTGGTGAGACTCGGCTTCCTTGTAAACTGTTTCCATCCATTCAGCCCCGACCTCTCCCTTGAGGAGGTCCTTTCCTGGGGCGCCAGAAGCATTTTCCAGGCTCAGGGCCGGACTTCGGCCAAAGCTGAAACAACCGCTCCTTTGCCTAGACTGCTTCCGGGTCTCCCTGGGAGTTGTAGTTCCTCTGCCCACAAAGGCTGCAGGTGTGGGGCGCCGTCGAACCACCACTCCCAGGAGGCTTTGCGCAGGCGGAACGTGTTACCCATGGCGATGGTAGCAGTCCCTCGGCCTTGCAAACACCAAAGCTCATTTTCAATTACCTTTGCCTTTTCCTGGCGCCCGGTGATGACGTAATGCTCCCTGATTGGCTCTGCATCGGAGGCGGTGGTTCAGGGAGCCGAGAATTCAAAGCTGGACACGTGGTAGCGAACGGCGAGGAGCTTAAGGGGTCTGAAGCCCCAAAAAGTTGGGAGGTTTGCAGGTAAGTGCTCCCTTTCCCTGTTGGTGTGGGAGCTGCTACGCGTAAGGGGAGGCTGCTGCGATGGAGTCGCGTCGCGTCTAGACGCCTCCTGGTTGTGTTGCGGTAACTGTGATTGTATTCGCGCTATGTCTCTTTCATTTTTCTGGGTCTCCTGGTGGATCCTGGCTTCTGTAAATCCAAATTCTCCCAAATCGTGTGAGCCTCACCGCATCTCAGAGAGAAAATTGTCTCCTTTCGACCGGGCTCTGCTTAAAGGTCAAGTTTCCGTGCGCAAGATTTTTCTAGACTCCCCAGGATGCTTGGGAGGGTTGGACCGATCTCGAATACCTCATCTAAGCGCCTCGCGAGGTCTGGGGCCCCTGGAGACGGCCCATGGAGTGAAGCTAAATCCATCGTTACTGACTGAGCCTAAGTGTTCCCGGGACAGTCCATGCTGGGATATGTAGGTTCATAAGGCAGGGTAGAGATTTAAACCCAGCTACTTTGTAGTTGTATGACCTTACGCAACTTGTTTAATAACTCTCGGACCCTCGATTTACTCATCTGCAAAATGCGAGCTATAGTACCTAAAGCATTAGAGTGTGGTACCCATTAAAAAATCAATGTATGTAGAGAACTCTGCCAGGAAACGTAAACTGAAATAGACTTGAGATTTGTCAAAAACATCAGGGAAGCTGTGCCCTCAAGACTACTGCAGCAATCACAGGACCTGTTCTGTAACTTGAGTGTTCATCAGAAGGGTGATGGTCGATTAAATTGCGTTACATCCAAGCTATGCAGTATCATGAAGTAGTTATTTTAAAGGGTAAGTTAAATTCTGTGTCTCTTCTTCAGGAAAAATATCCGTTGTGTATTCCTGGGCGAAAAGCAAATTTCAGAGAAGTGCTTATAGTATAGTATATTTGTATTTTTTAAATTAAAAAACACCCTTTCCCATACAAGTATATTTAAATGCTTGTGTGCATATATAGAAAGGTTGTAGAGGTTGGAGGATGGATAGAGGCAGAGAAGGGAGGTAAAGGAAGACAAGAACAGTAATAACAGTATAGCAAAATGGAAAATATGACTGTAACATTATATCTTAACATTACAGTTAATTTGTAAACATTGCATGTGTTTATGGACAAGATGGGACTTCTAATAGACTACCAGCCTATTAGAGTACAGCCTCTAAAGGCAGACTTCTATGATTTAAGTGGCTCTGCCACTTTGTAAATGGTCACTTTTTTAGCCTCAGTTTCCTCATCTGTAAAATGCCCGTAATAATAGCATCTGCCTTAGATTGACATGACAGTACATAATAGTGGAGTTAACATGTGAATAACAGGACCTGATACATAGTAAACACCTAATAAATGTTGCTACTGTTGTTGTTATTTCTTTAAATAGGTGAAACTAATTTAACTTTTGTTATGATTACTGACATATTTGGACTTACTCCTGCCATCTTATTTTGTATTTTCTATTTTTGGTGTACTTTTTGGTCTCTTTTCCTCTTTTTTTCCCTTAAGTATTAACCAATTTTTCTTGATCCTTCCCTGCCCCTCCCCAGCAGGTTTGGGAATTATCCATTTTCAGTAATCTTTTAATGCTTACTTAAAAATTTTTAACACGCATACTTAAAGTTTAACATTATTCATGATCTCTCTCCTCCTCCCAAATAGTGTAAGAATTTTAGAATAGTACCTCTGAATAGTTTCCTCCTCATCTTCCGTTACTAGTTTCTAGAATTTTAGAGTCCATCATTTCTATATGTCTTTCTTAGTCAGCTCAGTGCACCATATTGTTTAGAAGTCCTTCAGACTTTTTTTGCATGCATATACAGACAGTGTGCAGTGTGTGTTTGTGTGTGCATATTTATAAATATATATATGCAATTTTTCTTTTGCACAAAATATGTTCACCTAAGCCTGCTCTTTTCCCTCAGTGTATTGTGGTCATCTTTCCATGACAGTCTGTAGAGAATCCATTAAGAAACATTTAAAAAATCCCTTTTTTCCTAAGGGGATGGAAGGAGGGGAGAAATATGTGGCAATGGAGGTATTAAGATACGTACAATGCTGCCACAAGTGCAGGGAATCTTGGTTAGCCCTTGTAAAAGCATAGATCTACTTGTCCTTAAAGTGATTAAGAGTTTTTCCATTAACGATTATTTCCAAATGGCTCTTTTAATGGTTTTTTAAGACTTTACCAGGAAGTGAATGTAGATGTTTGTATATTGAGAAAAGCACAACCCCAGAAATCTTAGAAGAGACTCACAACAAGTGAAAGGGAAAAGGGTAATGATATGAAGCCAAATAAAAACCAGGTAATATTTTGGAGACTGTTAGTTTGTTTCTTGAGAACTTTGCTTGGATTAATAGACTATATCACTCCAAAAGCATGTTTTAAAAATATGTACATGAATATGTGTATGTGTGTATATATTATATTTACATTACTCCATAATAAAAACTTTTTGTGTTCAAGCCCCTAGAAAAAAGGTGCAATTATAAAAACACTAACCACAAATTGATCAGTAATGAGGAAAGGAAAGCTGGGTTCAAAGCTGGACAAAGTTGCCTATTATTTTTTTAAATGTTGATTTCCAGCTAAAGTACGTTCTCTGATGCTTTTCTCAGATTTCTTCATATTTGCATTCAATCCTCACAATACACAGAATCACCAGTAACAATTTATCTATTATAATACTTTTCTTTAGACACATTTGTCTACTTTTCCTTGCTTATACTTTTTCCTTTGATGCTGTGTCCATTTACTCTGATTAGGGTAGGACTCTTAAGAAACCCCAAACAGCAGAATGTGAGTACACAGCATCAAGAGTCCCATACTGTGGAGACAACCAAGTGGATATTTCTCTCCAGCTGACCTAGTGGGTTCAGTACACTAAGCTAAGGATTTTCAATTTCATCCTTAAAGTTATGGAGATTAAACTTTTGTGCATTGTATCACAGGAGGACCCATCTCTGCATCTAAGAGCATGGTGGCTGAGGTCCTCTAGAACTACGATGGACCTGTAATGACAGACCTTGGGTTAAGAATGAAGGAACCTATTTCTTCGATTGAGGAAAGAGTGGGAAGAGGAGATATGCATATACAGACATTGTATTACTCTCACTTCAAAGATGTAATCAAAAGCTCAGGCCTCTTGGCAGAGACCTGGGTTCTAGACTAAGTCTGATTAATCTTGCTTAGCCTCAGATTTGTTACTGTGGAATGGCAGAGGGGATGGTCCATGAGGAGCTCTCAGTTTGGCGTCTCTGGTAGTAATGGTCAGACTTAACTATTTTCAGCATTTCTAAAGTCTGATGGCAATCATACATTACCTGGGATGTTAAACAGAAGTTTACTAAAGCACTGTGGTTTGTTGTTTTTACCTGGAATTGAGTTAACTTGACATGGAAAAGCACATTGTCTCATGCTTGTCAGCAGCTTTGATTGTCAGTCTTTTATGTTATTTATTAATAAACTGGAAAAATGAAAGGAGGGTTTGATGGGGAGAGATAATAATAAAAATTGGCAGCATTCTAGAATCCTAAACTTCATTTTTCAAACATGCTAGTTTTATCCTATGAAGGCTCTTCCTACTTTTATATGGATTTAATTTTAAAAATACAACTCGTGTGTACATTTAAACTCTTTACAAAACTTAAGCAGCTCAGATGAGACAGAACTTTTGGAGTAAGGGGAGGAACCAGCAAATTCTTCTCTCTAGGCCTTTCTGAAAACACACAGGACAATGCAGTTTCTTCCATTCTCAGATGTGTGTGAGGGTAGTAAGTGCTAAGTTGTTGCAGTATTAGTAATCTTGGTCCATTAAATTTTCATTAGTTCTTATTTATGTTTCAAAAACCTATTGTTCCATATTTGTTGATTCTAATAGTCAGAATAATAGGGTTGATTCGTTAACTTTGAAGTGAATTTCTTACTTTCGTGCTTCCTCCGCTTCAGTTCTCTAGAACTCACTTAGATTGCAAAATACATTCTTTAACTTTGCTACAAATGGCTTCCAAGCTCTGTTAGTTTAAAAGATTTTTATCACTTGAAGCCAGAAGGTTATGTGTATTATTTGATAAATCAATAAGGAGTATGAGGGACTTCCCTGGTGGTCCAGTGGTAAAGAATCCACCTTACAACGCCGGGGACGCAGGTTCAATCCCTAGTCAGGGAACTAAGATCCCTCAAGCCTGCGCACCACAACTACTGAGCTCGCACACCTCAATGAGAGAGCCTGGGGGATACCCACACGCTCTGAACCCCACAAGCCACAACTAGAGAAAACCCACACGCCACAACTAGAGAGAAGCCCGTGCGCCTCAAGGAAAGATCCCACATGCCTCAACGAAGATCCCGCGTGCCGCAACTAAGACCCGATGCAGCCAAAAGTAAATAAAAAAAATAAATAATAAATAAATAAATCTTTTTTTATAAAAAGGAATATGATTGTATAAACTAATGACTCTTCTTTTGTATTCTCTTGTATTTTCTATATTACATTCTCATTAGCCTGTAATTATATATATTTTTTGGTATAAACTTTCTTTTATTTTAACAGTTTTAATGTGTAATAGCATGGCTTTAAAAAAAATAGCTTTTATATTACCCTTTGTTAAAACATAATGACTTTTTTCTCTTAACACTCCATTTCTGTGGGTTCCAGTGAGACATGTTATCTTTGTGATAACTTGAAATAATGAAGGTAGAGTCACAGAAAATTGACGAGCCTTTCCCCAAATACTTATACTATTTTTTATAATTCATGTTTAACATGAAATCACTTATTGAACCATACGGAAAGTAGTTATTCTTATTTCTAAAATTCAAAAGACTGTTAACTATTTTATTTCAATATAAAAATTTATAACTCCTAAAAAAGTAATATGTGCATTCCTGAATATTTTTTAACTAATGATAAATAATGCTTATTTATTTGGTAACATCTTAAACAATGGTTGACTTTCAGCGTGTGGTTTAGTATAATGCTTAAGAGGATAGGATCTAAGGTTGGAACCTCTCAGAGAGCTGTATTAATTTATCTACTAATAAAGCTGGGCCTAGCCTAACTGGCAAAAATTCCAGAGGGTATGGTATCAATACTTGCTGCAGAGACGCTGGTATCTCAAAATGCTGGATATCCAGTGACATTTTGCAAATGATCTGCCATGCCTGGTCACTGAGTTTTACAGGGCATTTAAAGAATCAAATATTTTTCCTTCCCAATTATAAGAATAATGAAACGTTGCTTACGAATTGCATGGATGCCCACACAGTTTCTCACCTCTGTTTGGACACCGTATAAAAACAAAGTTGGAGAATAATCCCACCTCTCTGACATAACCTCTGTTTATCTTTTGATGTATGTTCTTCCATATATTTTAATAAACAGCAGAATGCTGTTTTGGAATCTGTTTTCTTCATTTAATTACATATTAGGAAAAATTGCTATGTTGCCTAGTATTCTCTCAAATTAGAGAAAGAAAAAAAAATAGATCAAACCAGTAATCAGTATTTCCTACGCAGTATGACCTTTCTCTATACACATTTTCATGGCTGAGAGCAATCCTTGGTTTCACAGTGCTCTTTCCATGATTAGTCTTTACTTCTGTCCTTCTGTTTGTTTGGTTTCCATCAGCTCAGACAAAATTTCCATGACTGAATTTAAATGTGGTTGATGTCATCATATTGTGCTGGGACTTTGGGGAAGGTGTCTTATTCTCTGTGTCTTTTCCCATTCCCCTATTCCTGATATCTAAAAGAATCCTAGACTGGAAGTAATAACAAACATGCTATCTGTTTTTTTTTTTTTTGTAGTTTGCTTGGAAAAATGTTTAGCTTTTAGATGTCATGGAACTCCTTCTGAATGTAATGTACTTTTCTTATCAGGACCTAGAGGAACCCCTTAGGATGAAGCTAAGTCTTACCAAGGTGGTTAATGGCTGTCGCCTAGGAAAACTAAAAAACCTAGGCAAAACAGGGGACTGCACCATGGACATTCCAGGCTGCCTTCTGTACACCAAGACTGGCTCTGCCCCACACCTGACCCATCACACACTGCATAAAATCCACGGGGTTCCTGCCATGGCTCAGCTTACACTGTCATCACTGTAAGTATGAGACCTGATCATTCACATGGCAACCCTGGCAGCAGCTTGGTTACCTTAATAAGGTGTGGTAAAGAGAAAGACTTTTTTGCTTATGTGCAAAATTTGTAGGTTTTTTAGAATGAAATCAGAAGAGAGATATCAAATATTATCAAATATTATCAAATTATCAAATATTAGGGCCATCATCTGGCCCTAATCTGGAATCATGGGCCAGACCTACATGGTAGAGCTGCTTCACTTTTCCATACCGCCCTCATTGCCACTGCTCCCAGGGGTGACAGGGCCTGGAATGCGCTATGAGGGCCAAACTTGGAACCTAGGGGCTGTCTTCACGCACCAGCCTCAAAGTCTTCTCTGTCTCTGCACGTGTTCTACTCTAGGGAAACAACTAAGGAGTGAGATCATTTTGTGTAATGTACATACTGACTTCATCCCTAATTGAAAAATCTGCTATAAGATCAAATAACTCTGCAAGATTGTGTTAATAACAGTGATTTTAAAGGGGCAAGGGAAAGAAGAAAATCTAGATATTCCGAGGCCGTTGCTCTTTGCCAATTTCTCTCACAGTACCACTTGCAAATTGAAGAGCTTTGCTCTGGCTAATGAACCCAACCTAATGAGTGGGGACTCTTGAATAATGGTGTACTTGGTTGTTTGAGACTACATTTACTGTCACGTAGCTTGTTTGGGTGAGAAGAGGGCTTCAGTTGTTGCATAGAGTATCTGTAGAATGATTCATTATTATGTTACATAGTTTTCTGTTTTGCTTACAGGGCAGAACATCACGAAGTCTTGGCAGAATATAAGGAAGGAGTTGGAAAGTTTATAGGTAAAAATCCAGTTATTTGTGTGTGCCTTGTGGTGTATTAATTTGGAGGTTGGAGATGCTGTTTATTCTTTGATCCTTCATTCATACATTTATTTATTCATTAATTTAATAAGCATTTAATGAGTATCTAAGAACCAGGAACGCCTTTGAACTGGGGATTCAAAGATGAGTGGGAAACAATTGCTGCCCTCGTGAAACTCAGAGCCTAGTTGGGATAAAGATAAACAGGTAATTCTTGTAGAGTGTGGTGACTACATTTGCAGGATCAGGTGTAGATACATGTATCATGAGAGCCCAGAGGAAGGAACACATAACCTGCTGTTGGGTCCATGTGGAAGGAGGTCAGAATAAAGGAAGTATTCTTGACAAAGAAGATGAGGGGGCGCCTTAGCTGGGTCAAGGAAGAGTAGGAGTTAGCCAGGTCAGGAGGTGGGTGCAGACACTCCAGGCAAAGAGCAAAGACTTAGAGGTGAAGGACTGCATGGGACACACCTAAGATCCAAAGCAGGCTTGTCATGTTTGCACCTAAAACATAAGGCAGAGGATGAAGAGTTTATATTCAGCTATATTCTGATATGTTAATATTATCTTCTGTTCCAGAAATAGGATTTTGAATGCTGATCTATGTGTCCATTTATTTATAGGAAAAGCTTAGCAGGGACAGCCAGAGAACCAATTCTTCTGTAGACCATTTTCTCTTGAAGCTTTTTCCCAATATCTAGGACTCACTTAAATGAATGAAAATCCTGCTTCCATTGGTTGTTCAGTCCTCTGCTTCTGCAGGAAACTGCATGACGACTTGGTTGTCACAAGGGCCTGTGTTTCAGGAGAGGAATTTATATAATATCGTTTTCCTTGATCTGAGACCAATTTTAATAACCAGCTTTAAAGTATACAAGCGTATAATTAAGTGAAAATAGCTAATATAAGCTTTCTAGATATAATTGTAATAATTGAAATTGTAGACAATAAGGTGGAGAACTGCAGAGATTTTTGTTTGCTTTATATTTTTGGTCTTTTTTCAGCAAAATTCTATTTTTTTTCTTATGAAAATGCAGCATATGAAATTTAAGTACATATGGCTTAGTAAACTTTTTTTGGATTTTTTTTTTTAAACAACTATCTTTTTGATTAAAGAACCTAAGAAACTGGCATCTTGAGTAAATGAAACTTATTGAAAATGAGATCCATTTGCAGTGTCCTACAGCTTTTCTATAATTCTGCCCCTAGGGACCCATGGTGTGGGCTGGATTTATTATTAATAAGATTACCTATTGACTGTATAATTTCATCTTGCCAGTAGCTAGTTCCCCTTGGATAGTGCCTAGAATGACCATACTTGATATTAAATTCTTCAAAGCAAATCAAGTAGGGTCAACATATCATTAAACACTTTCATTGTATCATACTTCAGGTTATACCTTTCCTTTGTAGCAATTCGCTATGTCTTCAGACATGAACCTTTACATTTAATTCTTCTTTTAGATTAGTAGGTTTCAAAGTAATCTTTTCATTCATGTTGACAGGCCTCCTACAATTCTAAGATAAAGTATGAGCAATTTATTGTGTTTTAGACTTGATTTATCCAGCAGGACACATTATGAAGCTGATCTCTGTTACAACACAGTGTAATTGTTGATGTAAGTGCTCTTAAGGGTTCTTTTTTTATGTTTGTACAGGCATGCCAGAATCACTCTTGTACTGCTCCCTGCATGATCCAGTCAGCCCTTGCCCAGCTGGTTATGTAACAAATAAGGTATGTTCTCAGAAGGTCCTCCAAGGCTGAAGGTTTTTCTCGGGAAGTCAGCCTATGGGATGTCTCAGCTGCAAGGATCCCACTGCTTGGGATGCTGAACCATTCCAGACCCCTTTATGTGCCTTCTCTTTATTTCTACGACTATAGTGGGATGGTGTGGTTCATAGGAGTTAGAGTGGGGCAGCCCAAGGATGAGGTTAAGGTAAGGACTGTATCCTCAGCTTTTTCATTGTTGCCAAAAATTAGGGAGTAGAGAAAGGTCAAGTACATGCCAAAAAAAGAAATTGCTATGATGGTAGAAAACAATAGTCTTTTGATACCATGCTTTATTTGAAGTTTTAACAACCTCAGGAATAGTGGGGAAAGTTGCTGACGAGTGTTATCACATGCATAACTATATATAGTAGAATCTCAGTATAATACTGCTTTTTAGAACAGAATTTGAAAAAGCTGGAGATTTTAGCTGGTGAAAAACAGTATTCAAAGGACTTCCTTAAAAGTTTTAACCTGAGATATGGCCCCATTGCATTGTCCCTGAGGATAGCATTCTAGAAAAGCCTTAGTATATATTGCCACTTTACAAACAGTTACTTTTCTTGCACCCACTTTATTGATATCAACAATATCTATTAATCTTACCTGAGGTAACTATTTTAAATTTGTCTTCTGTTTTACACTTCTTTTTATTTTGTAATTTGAATTCAAAAGAAAATATTTTGACCTCGGTTGTCTATTCCATTTATAAGGGAGAAAGGATTCATTTAAACAGTGTTCTTGTGCCAGAATAAAAAGATTATATGTGGTCCCGCATTTATGTCCATCTCTTCTAAGAAGAGAGATGCTGTAGGAAAAGGAGTAACCAAAAGTACAAATAGAGATTCTTGTGTACTATGGGATTTATGTCTTTGCACATATTTCTGTATCTAACTCAATCTAGTAAACACTTACTAAACATTAATAATGTGTGAGGCCCCAGACTGTGCGCTTGGGGCACAACCATGAATTCGGATACTCTAGTCAGACATATATACAGTGGTGTGATAGGGCTATCTTTTCTTTTTCTTTCTTTTTTCCTTTGTTTGTTTATTTATGGCTGTGTTGGGTCTTCATTGCTGCTCATGGGCTTTCTGTAGTTGCAGCGAGTGCAGGCTACTCTTCGTTGTGGTGCGTGGGCCTCTCATTGCAGTGGCTTCTCTTTTTGCAGAGCACGGGCTCTAGGCCTGTGGGCTTCAGTAGTTGTGGCACACGGGCTCAGTGGTTGTGGCTTGTGGGCTTTAGAACTCAGGCTCAGTAGTTGTGGCGCACGGGCTTTGTTGTTCCACGGCATGTGGGATCTTCCCGGACCAGGCATCAAACCCGTGTCGCCTGCATTGGCAGGTGGATTCTTAACCACTGCGCCACCAGGGAAGCCCCAGGGCTATCTTTTCTGTGAAAGAAATAAATACAAATTGCTGAAAGAGCTTATAAGAGTGAGCAATTGATTATGCCTAGTAATGTTTGGGGAACACAATAGAGTAGACGGTATTTGAACTCTTATGTCTTGAATAGTATTTTACCAGGCAGAAAAGTAGGGGAAGGCCATTTCAGTCAAAAGGAACGATGTGATCAAAGACAGAAGAATTAAAGTCTGTGGTGTATTCAGGAACAGCAGTGGGTGGCGGAGAATGAAAGGCTGGGCTTCTGGAAAAGTAATTATAGAATTCTGAGTGCTAACTCAGAAGTTGGCTTGTGTGGCCGTTGAAAGACTTTATCGGAGTCCCTCTGAGCTATCAGGTCCTTAGAGAATTTGGAATATAGTATAGGAAACCTCTTTACCCACCGTGTCTAGGATATTGAATTGCCACCATCTCTCCATCTGTAAAGAAGAGTTGAGTTCAGGATTGCTTTGATCATTTTATTATTTTCTTTTTTTTTATTATTTTCTTTTTCTTTTCACATTACTCATCGTCTTGTCCTGTGACAGTCAGTGTCTGTGTGGGGTGTTGGAGGACGAGTGGAAATGACTGCCTCCAAGTTCATGGCAATTCAGCAAGTCCTTCAGCCAGACTGGTTCCAGTGCCTTTCAGATGGAGAGGCAACTTGTGATGAAGCCACTTCCATAAAGAGAGCCAGAAAGTCTGTTGACCGATCGCTTCTATTCCTGGATAATTGTCTGAAGCTACAGGAAGAGTCAGAGGTAAAGCCATGCCACTCACCACTCCTTTCTCTTAGAAACTCTCGCTCATTTATGTTCCAAGATACCACCCTTTCTTTTCCTTCTGCTTCTCTGCTTCTCATTTCTTGGTCTCTTACTCTCACCTGATTTTTTTTTCCTGATTGTTTTATTGCTCTTTAGAATTCTGTCTTAGGCTCTCTTTTTACCCCTCACTGTTCTCCCTGGGCAGCTCCCCTTAGTTTAAATTGCTGAAAATTCTAAACTTGTGTATGTAATGGAGATCACTCTACTTAGCTTCAGAATTACATAACCACAGGCCTTTGCTAGGTTCTGTCACTAGAGTATTCCTCACATGCACCTCAAACTCAGAGATAGCCAAACTCAGCGTCTCCCCTCCTGTCACCTGCTCTTCCTTCGGCTCCCTCAATACTCTGTCTCCCTTTGTGGCAGCTCCCAGCTCCTCAGCCCAGAGATTTGAGTCTTTCAAGACCCCTTTCAATATCCAAGTAATATTCAGTTTTTCACTCCACCTTGGTTCCAGTTCCCTAAATAAGTCTGGAATGTGTCCCTCCCCACCCTTCTTGTCTCCTTAAGGCACAGTAACCTCATCATCTCATGAACTGGGGAAGATGAAGCTGTAGCAGTGAATAAAGGATATTGATAGCAGAGTTAATAAAGCTGGAAAAGGAAGGGTTCATTAGGAGAGAGCAGAGGAGGTGGGAGAACAGGAGATACGATCAGAGGAGAAGCTTTCAGTGTCTGATCATTTATGTAGAGTAATCCTGAGCAACAAGTGGGCCCCACTACAGCAAAAGCGCACGGAGTTTCAAAAACATCATTATTTTGAGTTTACCAATAAAAAGTATAATTTGGCTAATCAAGTTAATATACATGAAATAATTAGAGGAAGCTTACTTGTCATTCTTAATAGAACTCTCAGTATGTGCAATAAGGGTCCAGCATGGGGCCATGGCTGTGGGTCTGCATTGTTAGCTCTGCAAAGAGTTGTTTGCTAGCAATTGTTCTGAGCCAGTAATTATCCTCGTAGGATAAGTAATGTTTGGATGAGGAGAAAGGAGGGAGGACAGGGCGTGTGATGGAGCATGATTATTAGATGAGCCTCAAATCCCTCTTCGGTGTTAAGTCAGCCCGACCATTTCACGTTATTTCTATGCATTGGTCAAATGCAGGGGTCCCTCTCTGTGCCCCTTATGCTCACGCTATTGTCTTGACATGATTATTGATAGTGCCCCCTTTTACTTTTAAATGTGTCCCGTTTTAGACAACAAATTATATGGTTATACTTCTTACACCCGTGAAAATGAATTTCCCAGATGGGGCTGTACCAGTCACGGAAAGGGGCAGGCCGTGTAACTGTCTGCTTTGTATGGCTGCATACATCTTTGCCTCTTCCTGTGATTTCTTCCCCTCTGATTCACTGTCTCCTCTTACTCTGAATGCCCTTAAATATTGAAGCTCCCCAAGGTTCTGTTGTTGGCTTTCTTTCCTTCTCCATGCATTCCCTAGGCCAGGGATGGCAAATGAGTTTCATCTCAAGGTGCTTGGAGCTGCTCCCAGGTGCAATGGGGTGAGGGTGGCCCGCTGGCTGGCTCTGTCTGCCATGGCAGCAGGCGTGGGGAGTGGCAGCACTGTGTCAAGCACCTACCGTTCTCTCTAGGTTGGGCAGTCACACTTTATATACATATCCCTGACTTTCAGTCTGTATGTTCAGTGGCTGATACCTCAAACCCAGAATGCACAAAAGAGAATAATCATCTTGCCTCACCCTCTACTGTTTTCTTAGGATTCCCTGTCTTTGCTCCTCTCGTCATCTCCCTGGACTTCTGAAATTGGAGCCAGGAGTCCTCCTAGATTTTTGTCTTCATCCTCTCCCCAGGCAACTAATCGGTCAGGTTGAGTTGATTGTACCTCCTGATGAGCTTTCAAATCCTCTTTCTCCTCTCCCCCCCCCCCCCCCCCCCCGCCACTGTCTTAGTCCAGATCTTCTTCGTCTTTCCCTGGATGATTAAAGTCGTCTCCTACCCCATCCTCCCCTCCCCTCATTCATTCTCCATGCAGCAGCTGAAGTGTTCTTTCTGGAGGAGTAGACTGATTGTATTCCTCCTACTTAAACCAAAAAGCAAAATTCCCTCTTTATAGCCTTCCAGGCTCCCTCCCCATCCCTCTCTTCTACCAGAGAGCCACTGTTGAGTGGTGTTTTTCCTTGCAAACCTTATTTTTTACAGTTCCATACACATAACTATTACATATATGCATGCCTATATGTGGTTTTTATTACATGAATATGATCATCTATTCAAAAATTTGCTTGTTTTTTTTTTTAACAATATCTTAAAACTCTTTTCCTGTCAATGTATATGTTAATATATGTTCTGCTTTCTTTTTAAAACAGCTATATAGGAAGCCTACTGTGAACATATTATATTGATACTTAAGCCTTTACTCTATTTTTTATCTTTTTTTTTTTTTTTTTTTTTTTTTTTTTTTTTTTTGCGGTACGCGGGCCTCTCACTGTTGTGGCCTCTCCTGTTGCGGAGCACAGGCTCCGGACACGCAGGCTCAGCGGCCATGGCTCATGGGCCCAGCCACTCTGCGGCATGTGGGATCTTCCCGGACCGGGGCACGAACCCGTGTCCCCTGCATCGGCAGGCGGACTCTCAACCACTGTGCCACCAGGGAAGCCCTGGAATTTATTTTTGAGGATGGTGTACAATAGTAATTTTTGTTTTATCTTTTTCCAAATGGACAGTCAGTTGTCCCATCCAAACAGTTTTGCAGTTCCTAAAGTTATTTCTAACTAAGAGATTTAGAAGTAACCTAAGGTAGACCAAGATAGCCATTTATAGAAATTAAAACTGTTGCTTTTATTCTTTTCCTCTTATACCTGCTTGGTATGTGCTTAATTTAATCTAAGCTAAAGCCTGATTAACTATGTTGATTGCCTCAGCTTCTCTTCAGTCTTTTCTTCCCTTTTTTTTTTTTTTTTTTGGGCCTCTCACTGTTGTGGCCCCTCCCCTTGTGGAGCACAGGCTCCGGATGCACAGGCCCGGCAGCCGTGGCTCACGGGCCCAGCCACTCCGCAGCATGTGGGATCCTCCCGGACCAGGGCACGAACCCGTGTCCCCTGCATCGGCAGGTGGACTCTCAACCACTGCGCCACCAGGGAAGCCCTTTTCTTCCCTTTTTGAGTGGCTTTCAAATTGTGTTCTTTGGAGACCTAAGGGTTCTTAGTAAAGCGGTAAGGCTCATTTAAACAAAGGTCTCCACTACTGGAAACAGTTAAAAAAGCGTTCAATCCGTTCTTACCTTAGGTCCTCCAGAAAAGTATGATCATTGGAGTGATTGAAGGTGGAGATGTGATGGAGGAGAGGCTGAGGTCAGCACGAGAGACAGCCAAGCGGCCTGTAGGTGGCTTCCTTCTGGATGGCTTTCAAGGGACTCCAACAACCCTGGAGACTAGACTGCACTTGCTGTCATCAGTCACTGCGGAGCTACCGGAACACAAACCGAGGCTAGTGTTCAGTCAGGGTGCAGGCTGAGCCTGGTGGGCTGCAGAGCAGGGGTGCTGCCGAATGTGTGGTATGCATTCTGTACATGGGTGTGTCTTTTGATGTTTTGATTACGTTCTTTCTGGGCTGAGTCTGCTGAGGCAGACTGTGGAGGAAGTTTCCATCAAGGCTGTCTTGCCTTTGATTTCAGAATGTAGACCAGAGGACACTGCCATGTGAATAAGTTTATTTGATCCTCATCATAAGTGAGGGCAAATGTTATACTGGTTCCCCTCATTCTTGTGCCAATTGTAAATATTGTTCTTTATTCACTATAACCTGGTGCCTGGGGACAGACATAAAGTCATGTGGAGCTCTGACCTTAAGCAAGTAAAGTTGAGGACAGACCTGGGATGCCTAGTGGAATGAAGATGGGTTCTGTCAATAAGGTCCTTTAAGAAGTTGTTAGATTTGAGGCAGGTAGTGAGTGGTATTTTTTTTTTTTTTTTTGCGGTACGCGGGCCTCTCCTGCGGAGCACAGGCTCCGGACGCGCAGGCTCAGCGGCCATGGCTCACGGGCCCAGCCGCTCTGCGGCATGTGGGATCTTCCCGGACCGGGGCAGGAACCCGCGTCCCCTGCGTCGGCAGGCGGACTCTCAACCACTGCGCCACCAGGGAAGCCCGAGTGGTATTATTTTTTGAAATCAAGGGCACTGGCAACCCTAGTGGGGTTGGTTCTTTCCATCAGTCACAGGATTCATTATGTGCTGGAGAGGAGAGTGATCTGCAAGATTCAGAGCTAAAAGTCCCCAAGTTTCTGAGTATAGCCAATGTCTTATTAGACTATTCCATTTTTTTCTTTTTTCCTTTTTAAAAAACTATAGTCTTTTAGCCCAGTTGTTATGAATATTCATGCTTTTTTCCTACAGATATATTAAGAGGTTTTATTATGGGGTGCTGCTTTATACCCCTTGGGCTGCTGGATATGTGTATGTAATTTTACTACTTTTTAAAAAATCCAGGTATAGGGCTTCCCTGGTGGCGCAGTGGTTGAGAGTCCGCTTGCCGATGCAGGGGACGCGGGTTCGTGCCCCGGTCCGGGAAGCGTCACACAAAAAAAAAAAAAAAAAAAAAAAAAAATCCAGGTATAGCTTGCAGTTAAGTATATGAATCTTATGTATACCCTGATGAATTTTTATTCGTATATATACTTGTGTAAACACCAGCCAGAGCAAGATATTGCCATCACCCCAGCCAGCATTCCCCCATCCCCTGCCCCGCCAGCCCCAGTTTTATCCTAGCTCTCTGTGTTCATTGCTTTCCCTCCTGTGCTTATTTCATTCTGGTGCAGATGATAATTCAGCACTAGTATTTCTAGTCACTTTCTGGACTTCTTTTGAGTTAAGTGCTCACAGATGTCTGTTCCTGGATTTGAAAGCTGGGATTGTTTTTCTTTCTATAAGTGTGTAGAAATGCCAGCTTCAGTTGGAGAGGAGTTCTAAAACATGACATTACTTGAAGGAAACTGTAGTCAGAAAAACCAGCATATATTTAAGGGTTCTAGTTGTTTAATATTACATAAGCCTTTCTTTGGACTGCTTTTAGAAATCAGGGAGTCTATAAGCTTTTCTCTGCCAGTTTGTAAAAGGGACCTATGAGTAGAAAAACAAACATAAAAAATAGCAGCCAGCCAGCCAGCCCTAGTCTAGTGCATTTCCCCATCTTGTTTTAGTGGCAAAACCTGGTTGAATGTTATTAACACTCTCAGAATTCATTACCCATTGCCTCTGGAAATACCGTCTCATTCTACCATGCAGACATTTTATTAATGGAGAAAATATAAAGAAGCATAAAGAAAACTGACTAGATTCTTAGAGCCTGTGGGCAGAGTTGAAATTCCGAGAGCAAGAATTGCTTCGTAAATGAACCTATGAAGAATACAGTAGATAAAAATGTCTTTCTTGAAGCAATTATGAAAAAGAATTATAAGGAAAATACAGTTAAAACATGGAAGAGTATTTGAAGGGGAAATAAAGCACACAGCTTTGCACTAAAAAAATCTTAAGTAGTGGATAGGAAGACTACAAAGTTCAGTCTGAGACTACGGAGGTTATTTCAGAAGGGATGAGAAGGGAAGGAAAACTAAACCTTTGTTAAGCTCCTCTTTGGGGCAGAAACTACACTTTGTGCTTTTGCGAATATATCATTAATCCTTACAACCAGTCTATGAGGTATGTATTCTTGCTCTTGTTTTTAAAATGAGAAAACTAAAACTCAGAAAGGTTAAGAAAACCTTCCCAAAGTAACACAGCAAGTAAATAAATGGCAGAGCTGGAATTCTGGTCCACGTCTCTCTGCCTCCAAAGCTCTATGTTCCTTCCATACACCTCCTTATCTGCTGCCTGCCACGCTAACCATGATTTTTATTATTATTACTGTTAATGCCCTCTGGAAAGACTCTCTGATTTCATTCCTGGCATTGTTCTTATGTCACTGTTCATACTATTTTCACAGGCTCATCTGCGGTGTTAGCCAGCCAGATGAGGTGCTCGAGTGTATTGAAAGAGGAGTGGACTTATTTGAGAGTTTTTTCCCTTATCTAGCAACAGAGCGGGGATGTGCCCTCACTTTCAGCTTTGATTACCAGCCGATTCCTGAAGAGACATGTAGGTCTTTTGAAGTTAATCTCTGTGTTACCCTTAAATTCTCTCTATTTCCTATCAATTTTTGCCTTGAATTACAAGCCAGAAATATGTGCATACTATAAAGCCAGCCTTTTATAAAACTATGTCTTTGTTTCTTATCGGTACGCCCTGGCATGTTGGCACACAAAACCAGGCACTTAATACTATACACATAGCTCATCAATATTAGGAAGTGATTTTGTAGTGAGCAGAACCAAGAAAAACAAAACCTCTTCTATTAACAACCTGAAAAAAGAACATTCAGAGTGAATAGTGATGAAAATCTAAGAAAAGAAAACCTTTGAACTGCTTGGTAAAAGTTAATTTGTTTTTTCACAAAAGAGTTCTTGTCTGCTTTTTGCAAACCCCATGCTATTAATATACAGGGAGTCTCATCCCCTCTGATCCTAGTGTTACTTTTGCTTTTTTGTTTTTTTATACATACTGAGATGTGAAAGCTGTTTTCCTCTGCTAATCGTGCTTTGAAGCACTGCCATTTTCTTTTAGTGTTTAGTTATTCAGAGGTCAGGAAAATCAGTTTCAGATTCTAACATTTAACTGGCAGTAGAAAAGGAACCAGGATACAGACTTGGGGTTGGGGTCCCTTGAAGTGTCTCCACAGTGTTTCAGGAGAATGTTGTGTGCCTGGCCTTCCATCTGGCCTTCAGAGTGTGCTTTCCTTTCCCTCCTCCTGCTCTCCGTTGAACTCTTGCTCTATCACCGCCAACCTTAAATTTGAGTAGGGCCAGAGACTTCTTTAAGGGTTCATTTTATTCCCCACAAGTGATGAAAATTTCATTCAGAATATGTTACACTCCTATAAAGCAACTTAAGCGTTAATCTAAATGGAATTAGTTCTAGAAACAAAATCAATCAAGTTGATCAAATTCATATATAGAGGAAGTCAATTTTACTGTCTTTTAGACAGACTAGAACGTAATGTATTTGGATAGGCACACCATAAACACTTGACACATGTTCATGACTTCATTTACAAGTGAAATTCTCTCTGCCAGGACATAGGTGACTGATAGTCATTCTGTACCGTGAATATGCAAAACTCTACAAAGAACCTGATATTGAATTCTCTGTAACAAACACGTTCCTTTTGGGCCAGAGAAAGCCAAGTTTCTTTATGATTGGGAAAACTGAGTTTGAACATTTTTATGCAGGTATTATGTATCACATTTGTGTGCGTGTGTGTGTATAGTAAATTGAGGCTTTTTGCCAATTACAAAGTGAAAATTCCAAAGGAATAAGTTGCATAATGTAGGCAGCGATTCCCCCTAATAACACTAGTTACTATGCAAAGAGCCAGCTGCTCTGAAGAGAGGCAAGTAGATAAGTATTCCTGGTGTTTCTCTTGCAATTCCAGGAATGTTCTTTCTTAAAAGCAAAGAGTTCAAGGGAACAACTCAAGTCCCCATTTAATTATAAGATATATACTTGTAACTACTATTCACTTAGACATAGTTGAATCTCCAAGTTTTGATACTATAGATAATAGGTCATTGATCATCTTGTTACATACTGCCTTGTTTTTCTTGTGCTATTTCCTTCGGATAAGTTCTGAGGAGTGGAATTACAGGGTCAAAGGGCATGAAATAGTAACTAAAATAAAATTCTCCCAATGGCCACTCTTTATCTGATCTTCATTCAAGACTCTTTGTTGGTTTGTCCTTTAGTATTGCAACAAAATGGGACACAGGAAGAAGTAAAATATGTGGATCAAACAAAGAAGAGTAAAACAACTAGCTGCAACCAAGAAATGACATCATTTGAAATTAATCTGAAGGAAAAAAAGTAAGGAATTTTTTTTTAAGTATGGATTTTGATTTCTGACTTTTTAATTTCAGTCTGTTTTGAAAGTTTATATAACTGTTCCCTTTTCAGTTCATGACTTCAAAAAATATTTATAGTTGGATATTGTTTGGGCCTTCTCAAATTCAGGGCCAGCAGTACTCTTTTTTTCTGCAGATGAATTTGTGTACTTTGTCTTGTCAGAAAACTGAGGCTAGATAACTGTTGCTTTAGAAGAGCTGTCAGAAAAATTAGACCAGATCCATTGTTTGGTGTTCTTTACTCCTTATGATTACTTTAAATAATAACAGTGTAAAATAAGGATTTCAAGATAAAATATTACAACAAAATTTTTAAATTTTAAGGAATTTAAGCCATCTTGGTTATATACAGATTATAAATCTTAAATAAAATATTTGCCTCTATAAAGACTGAACTAAGATATCTTATAACTGTATTTGGCCAAAAGTGGAAATAATCAGTGAACCAGTGAGCGGTTTTTCTGTGAACTTGGTATACTCACTTTAATGCTGGGGTGTTTTTGGTCTTACGTAAAGGGACATTTTAGGGACTCAGACTTATTTATGTCTATCTAGTAACAGGACAGACTTGAAAATTTATGAAGGAATATGAAATTCCTAGTTCTTATTTCTATAGTGATTTCTTGATTATAGGTCTGTAATGGTGACGTTTATCACATTTGACTTCTTGAAAAATAGCCAAGGAGATTCATTTCCATTTTTAAAAAGCTAGGGTAATATAAATGGTTACTACTAAAATTCACTTTACATTATAGATATAATTGGAAACTGTGATATTTTTATCATCAGCACTGGAAGTTTTGGAGATTTGGCGTTCAGATTGTAGCCTTGCTTGTGACTGTGTGACCTTGGTCAAGTCATTTAACTTATTTTTAATAGCTGATAGAAAGTAGCACGTATATAGTGCTTAGCATGTACCTAGCAGTGTCCTTTACTATATTAACTTATTTAATTCTTGTAACAACTCTATTAGGTAGGCACTGTTACTACCTTATTACATTTCAGATGAGAAAACAAAGACACAGGGGGAGGTTAAGTGACTTTCCCAAGTGAGTTGTGAGCCAGGAACCAACCCCAGGCATTGTAGCTCCATAGCCCTCCCTCTTAAACCCCTTGGCAGTCTTCACTGGTAAAGTGACAGGAAAAATGCCTATCTCCATGGGTGGTTGCAGAGATTAAATGAGACAGTATATATGAAAGTTTTTTGTAAACTGCAAAAAGCTATGCAAGTAAAAGGTCATATCATCTTTTCTAATATTAGCTCTGGTGGCGAGTGGGAGAAAAGTGTCATTCATCAGAACAGTGTCTCCTGACATTTTTGTGTGCCTTTACAGTGTGACTAACCCTGCTCAGCAGGGGGGAGTGAGCACGTGACTCTTCTGCTGCTCCTTGGTAAGCCTCAGTCTAGGAGGTTGTATCCATCTGAGGAAGACTCCTGAGTCTCCTGGACAATGTACTCTCTGTTAACTTTTGACCACATTGCCGCCTTAAGCAGGTGCCTGGCACTACGTTTGCCGGTTGTGTTACTAACTATTGGTTACGTGCCAGCAGAATAGGTTAGTCTAGGTTGTCGAGGTCTTGTTTTCCTCACTTTCCGGAATATCATTGTAACTTCCTTTCTCAGGTACCAGGAGGACTTTGATCCGCTCCTGAGAGGGTGTCCCTGTTACTGCTGTAAGAATCACACTCGTGCGTACATCCACCATCTGCTGGTGACCAACGAGCTGTTGGCTGGCGTCCTGCTTATGATGCACAACTTTGAACACTACTTTGGATTTTTCCAGGCCATCCGGGAAGCACTAAAAAGTGACCGACTGGCACAGTTGAAAGAGCTCATCCACAGGCAAGCATCTTGAGACCTGGTACGCATAACCTGACTCTTCACATCGAGCCTGCACCACGGTTGTAATGTGGGAGGAAGACAGCAGGAAGTGATCTTCACTTGAATCACTTATATTTGAGAATGAAGTCTACTCAAATAAGGAACATCTGTATTGTACTCTGCCCGCCTGAGGCTAAAGAGACTTCTTCTTGCGACTGAAATGACCTAGAATGACCTAGATTGATCAGAAAGAATTGAAACCTGACCTTGAATATTTCTGCGCTAACTCTTCTAGTCAACAGAGATTCGTTTAGTCAAAGATAAAAGCTTTAGATGTGAGGGGACAGCCTTGAAGTGGGGATGATGAAAATCTGAGGGTTCACTGAGTCGGATTGGAGCTTGAAGGGAGTTGATTGGTCATGAGTAGCATGACCTCTGTGGACACATGCCTGTTGACCAAGAAGGAATTTGTCTGATTCAAGAGTTTCCTTCATTTTAATCCTTATATTCTCAGGGGTCTCTTTTGGACACTTGTGCCTTCCAAGCTGTCCTGGCAGTGCAGTCAACCAGAAATGACTCTTGTGATTTAACCAGGCTCGCATCTCCACGGAATGTGGAGCTCACACATTGCTCCAATGACCAGTTGGCCCAGGGCACACTCTTCGTTTGACCATATGGTCTTTCTGTGACTTGTCTCACTAGAGTCAGCGCAGTTGCCTGTTAGGAGCTGAAAGTTTGCCTAGCTGCTTTCATCTGGCCGTATAGATCCACTGTGGTCTGCCTTTTAGGCTCATTAAGAGTCGAACCACATAATAACTGGAGCTACATCACCTGGGGAGATTCAGTCACCGTGTGTTCACTTGGACAGAGCCCTGGCCTGCCAGTTAGAGGGTTGGGTTTCAGTTCTACTCAACTATGACACTTGGGCAAATCACTTAACCTCTCCATGCCTGTTTCCTCCTGAATAAATGGGGACAGGCAAAGTGAATAGTACTAAACGAATTTCTAAGGTTCCATTTAGCTCTAATATTTGGGGAACAAGAAGTTTTAGAATAGAACCATAGCTTTATGTGTATCCTTTTTTATTGATCGCTATTGGCCTGATAAAAAATGCGGTGGTGCCAGGAGTCAGGGAACAGTAGAGGTATTTGAGAGCCTAAAAAGGTTTAGCCTGTGGATTTTAAAGTGGTTGGTAAATTGGCATCAGCAGGTCCTGAGGCTGGGAAGACCTTCGCTGATCACCTCTGATCCTCTGAATTTTTTTCTGCTCTTGTCAAAGGAATGACATTCATGTTGATGGTGTGACAGGTGATTTTTATTTTCTTTGTGCTTTTCTATATTTGTCAAGTTTTCTATAAGAATACACATACATGCACGTTTCACACATAGTTTTTATAAAAACAGCAGAACCAAAAAGATGCCTTTGTTTTGTTTGTAGGGGTATAAAATATATTTGTTTTATATTCTTGTGCTACATTTTTCTATTTGTTCATTTTAGTGGGCATTACTGAACCTTGTTTTTAATTATTATGTGGTTACTATATTTTTATATGTAGGGTGCCCATCTATACTGTTTTCTTTTATTAGTGGTTTAAGAACGTCCATGAATTCCAAAGCTCATGAATTCCAGAATGCATGGATATTCTTACAACCTCTCCTCCAATTAATGGCAAGGATACTTATGAAAGACAGAGTTTCTGTTCTCAAGAATCTGCTTGTTTTGGGCTTCCCTGGTGGCGCAGTAGTTAAGAATCCACCTGCCAGGGCAGGGGACACGGGTTCGAGCCCTGGTCCGGGAAGATCCCACACTCCACAGAGCAACTAAGCACGTGCGCCACAACTACTGAGCCTGCGTGCTGCAACTACTGAAGCCCGCGCACCGAGAGCCTGTGCTCCGCAACAAGAGAAGCCATCACAGTGAGAAGCCTGAGCACCTCAACAAAGAGCAGCCCCCGCTCAACACAACTAGAGAAAGCCTGAGCGCAGCAACGAAGACCCAGTGCAGCCAAAAATAAATAAATAAAATAAATAAATTTATTAAAAAAAAAAGAATCTGCTTGTTTTGAAATTATTGGACTGGAGTTGTTCATATGTTTATAACTCCTGTTCAATGCCAAACCCATTGTTGGAGGAGTGTTAATAAATATTCCAGAATCCATATAAAATTTATGAGTTTTATTTGTGTTCAAAACCGAAAATTCTGTCCAACTTTGTCCATTTTTCTGGGTCTTTTTCTTATTAGCACATTTGGAAAAAATGTTCCTTTCCTTTAATGTAAATCTATTAAGGTCAATAGCCAATAAACATTTTTAATTAAAAAAAAATACTAGTCTGGTTTCCTGTAAATAGTAATGAGTCTGTTAAACAAAACGTTAAATTTCCATGGTACCAGAAATGTTCTCCATTAGAAAAGAATTTTTCTACACCTATTCCATCTGTAGTCATTGTTTTAAGTGCACTCACACTAAATGCAGAATCCCAAGAAAGATTCAGGGATGCACCTGTCTTTTTACATTATATAATCAAGGGCCTTAAGGTTATGCTAGCACGTAATAAAAGAATAATAATAGCCACAACCTGTGGAGTACTTTTACTGTGCCAGGCACCTTAGTAAATGCTTTCCACACATCTCATTGACTCTTAGAGCATGGCTGTGAGGTGTTGATACTATTATTCCTAGCCTGAGTTTTGGGAAGGTTGAGTAGCCTGCCTGAGGGCCTACCAGGAATTTCTTGAAGGTTGAGTAGTTTGCCTAAGGACCTACCACTAGTCAGCTCCCAGGTTAGACTTGGCGCCATCTGACTAAAACTCAACAGTTAACCGTTGCACTAGCTTCTTCCTGGTGGCTTACTCCCGAGTTGAAGGGGCTATGAGAAGTGAGGACTGAAGAGATGGACCTTCTGGTCCCGAGGTGCGGGGTGCTTCTGGAGCTTTGCTGCAGCTCAGTCCTGGTTTCCACTCCTCCACTGGAGACTAGCTGGCCCTGGCCTGTGTGGCCCATGGTACCATGTTGGCACCTGTAGGTCTGTATGTGCTCGACGTGAGTTGCCATTCCACGTCCCCCAGTCCTTCCTGACCCCAGTTTCGGGACTGTAATCACACCTTGAATTGTTTCGAGAGGGTTTCTGCCTGCGATCAATTAAAGTGGGGAATCAATAGGAGTCTGAGGTTTCCTATATGCCTTGGGGGAAGGATATTTTATTGTTCTCTGGGAATAAAGGGAAAAGATTCTTTTAAAACATTTTTCAAACTAAATACTTGTGTAATTAAAGCATTTTAATAAAAATTTCAAAGACCATCCAAAGGTCAAGATTAGAGTGTGTAAGCAGCCACCTTCTCCAGGATGTTTTTTCCTGTTGAGGCAGCTTGGAGCTCACTGAGAAACCACAGAGTTAAATGATTACCCTGTGCCTTCCTAATTAGGAACAGGCTGCTCTCTGCAGTTTGATTAGTCTCGCTGGTAGCAATGGGATTGCAGCTTATTAAAACTGACTGCTGTGGGGGACGGAGCCAGGAAGGTCAAACTTACATGCCGAGCCAGCCACCAGCAAGGCTCTGCCTTTACCTGAAGGTTTGGTGTAATTGGCATTCATCCTAATATTCTTTTTCATTTCTTTTATTTTTTTCAACTGTCAAGTCTCTTCCTCATTTTACACATTTTCTCTCTCTTCTTCCTCGTGGGAATCCCTGACTTATGACCATATAACCCAAATAACAGTTGGCCAAACCAGAAAAGCAAGCCCAGTGTAGGCAGTGTGAAGCAGGGTAAACATACATCCTCGCTGTTCACAACAGTCCTGGTTTATGTCTGTGGTCCAGGCGTCATTACTAACAGCACCCCCTTTTACTCTCAAAAGTGCCCTGTTTGGACAAGTTATATGGTCACCCTAATGTGAGTGGTGGGGATGGTCAAACTAGAGAGCAGACGACCATCTAAACAGGACAGCTGCTATCCACCTCTTGCTAACTGCTGCTGTGGGTCCAGTGCTGTCAGATCTTCCAGTGTTTCAGAGAAGCCAAAAAATCTGGATTTTCACTTGAAAGCTCACTATTTTTAAATGCTGGATCAATTTTTAAAAAATATTCTGCTATCCAGACAAAACCTAATAAGTGTGCCTAGTTTGCAGCCTTTGGGTTAGAATCTGGAGGGAAGACTGGCATCTTTAACATTTAAAAGTTTCTCAGTGATGCGTAAAAATATATAGAAAAAACACCTAGAGTTTCTAGCTCCTGCAGCTGATTACAGATTTCCCCATTAAGAAGAGATCCCCATGTTAGGAACCAAATTATTAGTTATGCTTTTAAAAAAAAATTTACCAGTTTACATAATTAATCAGGATGCATTTTAAGTTCTAACTTTTTTTGTTTATTGTGTAATGCATCACTTGGAAATACCAAGGAAATATCCTTTTGTTTTTAGTGATGTATGAGTGGAACTAATGCTAGTTGGCAGTATTTGCTTGTAAGAAATCAATAAAGTAATTGTATTTTTTTTTTTTTAAAGAGATCCCTATGTTGTCCCAGCTCCCTGGCACAATCCCCAGATAACTCCCAGAACCATTCCAAACCTGCCCAAAGGGAAGGTATGGATCGCCTTGTTCAACCTATTTTATGGTTGAGAAATGTCAGGCCTGGAGAAGAAAGAGTAGCAGCGACGGTGTCTTTCCTCTTAAGGAGTTTAAAACAGAAGCATATTTCTTTCCAGTTACCATTTTGGCTCTCCCCTGTCCTACCCTATTTCGTGCCGGGCTGTGCCCTTCCAGGGTCAGCAGTGATTTCCCAGTACCTGCTTTCCAAGGATCCTTTCTGACTCACAAAACCAGTTGGTACAAGGACATAAGGTCTCCTATCACACCTTCCAGCATTAACAGCAATAGTCCTGGCTGACACAGTTCAATAACTGTTTGTCGAGGGAGCGAATATTTTCAGAACAGTTGAGGCATTATCTTCAGATTTTCGCCAGCTGAGCACAGGTTAGAAGTGACTGGCACAGCAATACGTGGTGGGACCTAGGCTGAATGTCTTGTTAGTGTG